GGGGTGTGGCAAATGTCACAGCCCGTCACTGTCTTTTCTCGGGAGGCAGGTGTGTCTTGGCCGCTGCCTCCAGTTGTACTCTGGGCAGAAAAGCCTGGCTCTCGGAGATGGTGCGTTTGTAGTAGGGAATAGAGGCTGGAAGGGGAAGAGCCCGCCGTGAAAAATGGCTCCTTCCCTGCGGGGGAATTCCCATGCGCACCGGCGTGCGTACGTTGTGTTCCCCACCCTGCGCCGGGTCGGGCCTGCCCTGGAAGCTGTCAGAGCTGCTCGTTGGTCTCATGGCACACCGTGGGGTTTTGCGCACGAGCTAGTACAGTCCCTTGGGTGTCAGGTGTGGGGTTGAGACTCCCCACGTCACTCTCCCATAGCACGCAGGTGTAGGGTGCGTTCCGTAGGGACCGTAAAATCCAGACGTCCCTGAGGATAGGGATGATGGTAGCGGAGCCTGGCTCCCTTCTGAAGACAGCCTTGTCCCCTCAGGAGCCCTTGGCCAGCTCCGCCCGCAGGACTCCGGGATGCCCAGCTCCCCAGGGCTCTTTTGCGCCCAGGGGCAGCCCCTGCGGGGGGCGGAGGAGGGCCCTTTGTGAGGAGGGGGCAGAGAGGGCCTGGCAGGGTCCTGCAGGCAGAGCCCTGCAGGCAGAGCGGTGACCCAGGTGCGGCTCTGCTTGCTCGTGTGGAGAATGGGCTCTTCACGTCCGTCCCGTCTCCGTGTTCCTGGTCCGCGCCGGGCAAGCTTCCGTGGAGCTGGGGAAGGTGGCGGGGAGGGCCGTCCCGCCCAGAGCGGCTGGCTGTTGGGGAAGGCGCTACTTTGTCCGTGTGCTGGCAGCTGCGTGTGCAGCCTCTCGGGCAGGAGGACCCTTGGCTTCCTCCACTTGGAGACAGCGGCGGCGACGTGCGGCGTCAGTGTCGTATCCCCGTGTCCTCCTGTGCGGCCCAGGCTGCAGGCAGGCCCCAGAGGGCTGGGTGGAGCGTGTGGCGCCGTGCTGCTCTCTGGGCACCCGGTGGAGGGGAGGGTGCCCGGTGCCGACAGCTGCTGCTGCGTTGGGTTTCGGCTCCTGTCGGCGTTGGCGCTTTTGTCTGTCATCCAACCCAGCTCTCCCTTCTGTCCTGCAGGCCACCCCGTGGGCCGGAGGGCCCCAACCTTTCCCAGGACCAGTCTGCGTGGCCTGCCCCGCGTGCGGCCCGTCGTCGCCCAGCTGGGCACCTGCACCTGTTCCCCCTTGGTGCCCCGTGCCGCCTCGCCCCCCACCGCCAGCTGCTCCGCTCGGTAAGAGGAAAGCATAGTCCTCTGTTTCTTCCTTGAGTCACTGCAGAAGAAGGGCAGGTCGCTCTCCGGGGCTTCCCCGTGCACGGGCGGCCCTGACTGGGCTCACGGCCGCGTCCCTCTGGTCCCTTAGCAGACGCACTTGATGGGCCGCGTCTTCCCCGTCCTGCCCTGGGGAGGGAGGTGTCTCTTGTAGAGGGAAAGAGGGTCCTCTGACGGAGGGCAGACGTGTCGGTTCTGCACACGGGCCTTCAACAGAGACCACGTTCCGGGCTCCCTGGAGGCGAAGCCCGCCCCTGTCACTGTCGGCAGCGAGTGGAGCCCTGACCTTCCACAGCCGATGATCGGTTATGGAAGAAACACCCGAACCCGTGGCCTGTGGTCTCTTCAGTCAAGGGTCCCTGAGACCTGTCTCCCACTCGGTCTGATGTGAGACTTAGTGCGATACGGGGAAGAAAGCCTCAAAGGTCTTCCGCGCTTCAGCAAAGTAACATGTTTTGTAAGGTAGTGAACGGTGAAGGAGTTTTTTTTGTACTTTATTTTATCTATGCCGAGAAGCTAGTTTACTCGGGGAAGGATATAGGTTAGTGGTAAACAGAATGCTTGCTTAGCATGCCGAATTCCGTGTGCTCATTCCCGGTACGTCCACTTAAAAAAGGAAGAAAAGAAAAAACAAAAACAGGAACGAACTTCAAATGTTGGAAGTACATAGTGCGCAAAGCCGACTTGGATATCCATTCTTTTTACGTGTTTTCCTCTTACTGCTTGGTTTGAAATCTATCCCAACCGTGACTTAAGCTTTTGGGTTTTTTGGGGGTTGTTTTTTTTTTTTTCCCCCAGAAAAATGCTCTTAACTCTTTGAAATTCTTTTCTGCCACTTTTGTTTTGACATATCCACGGACGGAGATAGACGCACGTGGTGGTTGTAATTTGCATTCGTGAATATTCTCACTAATGTACCTGTAACTACATTTTACAGGTGGTATGTCAGTGCACCACTTTGCAGAAGAAGGAGGAGGAGAGTCTTCCTCTGAGGAGGTACTGTCTCTTGTTGTTAATGTCCTTGTGTGACTGTGTAAGTACCAGGGGATTCTGAAACATAAGCCGGGGGTTGGTGTGAGTGTGCATTTTCACGTTTGCATCTGCTGATGAGAATTTTTGACTTACATTTTTAACTTACAGTTTAGGATGTGATTCTGTGCTTAATGCCGTAGGACTGGATAGTGCACTTGTGTTAATTTTCCAGACTCACCTAGTGAAACCAGTGTCTCTGTATGTGAATTCTTTTTTTCAGGGTCTTTCCGTTACAGTTTATTAGAGGGTATTGAAAAGAAATTCATCCCTGGGAAAGTTAGGTGTATCTTGGAGTTGGTTCTTGTTTTAGCCGTCCTCACTTGAAATTAATTCAGTGGTGGTTCATTTTGAAGGCAGCATGTTTTGTCTTCCCATTCCACCGCCAGTAACAGTGTTCTAGTTTCCTTAATGCCTTACGCTGTTTCCCACCTGCTCCTTTTACTCAGGCTGCCCTTCCCCAGAGCCCCTCCACATCCCCCCTCTGCACTGGATCTCTCTTTTACGAAACAGTGCGGTCTTCCCAGCATTCCCTGAGCTATCCACGTGCAGCGGACTCTCCTGTCCTTTGTGGCGTTACTGTACCCGTTCACCTCAGTTGTAGAGCTGTTGAAACTTTTCTGTGCTGACTTGTTTTCATGGATCCTGTGCCTCTGGCAGAACAGAGAGGAGAATCTGCCTTTTATTTGTACCGCCAGCTTCTCCCAGGATAGGGCTTGTGTTCTGATAGGTACGGTAAATAACTGTTGTCTACCTGACCGACCGACCGACCAACCGACCAAGCGTATGAACATGATGGTTTCTGAAGTTCGTTTCTTGTTTTATCTTGTTTTGTGTTCCTAGGAAGGGGCGACTGAGCCCGATCTTAAGAAACCGGAAGACGCTACTGGGACTGTAGAAACGGCTCCATGGGAGCCAACAGATCATACCACGCCGACCTCTTCTGCTGGAGCACACGGAGCTTATTATACACCGGGTAAGTTAGTGAACGTGGATGGCGTTCCTTGTTCCTCTGTGCCTAGAAACTAGTCTGCTCTGGGGGGTGGGGGGAGGGTATATGTAGCTCAGCAGTAGACAGAATGCAGGCTTAGCATGCAGGAGTTCCTGGGGACAGTATCCAGTTCCTCCAAGAAACGAGTGTGATGCGGGGAAGGCAGGCAGGCAGGCAGGCAAGCAGGCAGGCAGGCAGGCAGGCAGGCGCAAAGGTTTTGTTTCGCTTCAGCAGTGTCTTCACAGGAAAGCCTAATGCTCCATCCTTTTCTGTGGTTTTTTTCCAATGCAGAACCTCGTGCTGCTCTGGTGTCCCCTGGTAGCTCCCGCCCACCTGAGGCCACCATGGAGTCCCAGATAAATTGAGATGTGTTGTTTGGTGGAAGTCTTTCTTGGATATGTATTCTTTTTGTTTTCGCAGCATCCTCTTTGGCCTCGTTTGTAGGCTGTGTGTTATGTTTCGGATCTGGCATGTCGTTTTGTTTTCAAAGGCAAACTCTTGTGCAGGGTACATTGGCTTTCCTCTCAACCAGTCACCTTGAGTGTTGCTTGTAGAAGCCTTTAGCGAGGAACTGCATGAGTGCTTAGGACCTCAAGCTTTGACTGTGTGTTTCTTAGAATAGCATAAGAATTGTGGTCCCTTGCTCCATACTGACTCCTCCTGGCTCGGCTGACTCCTTTTTACCTCCTTCACTTGGGATTGCTCCTGGGTCACTGAGACCGGTTCCTGTTGTTATTCTTTGAATGGTTTCCTGGCTCAGGCTGGGGATTCTCCTTTCTAGAAAGCCCATTCAATTCCTTGTAACTGAAAACTGAGCAAAGCCACTCCTCCAGCCTTACACTGTGTGGTTTGTGCAACTTTGAGTCTTCCTGGGTGTGTAAATATCACAGCCCATCACTGTCTCTTCTGGGGAGGTAAAGGTGCCTTCCCCGCTGCCTCCATTTGTATTTTGGGCAGAAAAGCCTGACTCTCAGAGATGGTGCATTTGTAGTAGGGAATAGAGGCTGGAAGGGAAAGAGCCCGCAGTGAAAATGCCTAGTTCCCTGCAGGACCAATTTGCACCACAGTCCTGGCATCATGTCCTCCATCCCGCGCTGGGTCGGTTCTGCCCTGGAAGCTGTCAGAGTTGCTTCTCTGTCTCATAACACACCATTGGATTTTCCACATGAGCTAAAATCCCGTTGGTGTTATTTGCAGGATTGAGACTTCCCCGTTCCCTTTCCCATAGGACAAACATAGTGTGCTTTTCCTAGCAAACTTAAATCCAGATATCCCTGAGAATAAGGATGATTGTAGCAGAGCCTGACTCCCTTCTGAGGACAGCCTTGTCCCCTCAGAAGCACTTTGCCAGCTCCCCCACAGGACTCCGGGATGCCCAGCTCCTCAGAGCTCATTGCGCCCAGGGGCAGCTCCTGCGGGGTGGAGGAGGGCTCTTTGTGTGCAGGGAGTAGAAAGGGTCTGGCAGGGTCCTGCAGACAGTGCAAGTACTCAGGTGCGGCTCTGATTCTATGTGTGGAAAACCAGACCTTCACTTCCTTTCTTTCTCTGTGTTTCTGGTTCATGCAGACCATGCTTCTGTGGAGCTGGGGAAGGTATCAGGGTGGGTTGTCCTGCACAGAGAGGCTTCCTGTTTGGGAGGTCCTACTTTATCAATTTGCTGGAACCTCTGTACATCGTCTCAGCCGTAGGACTCTCGCCTTCCTCCACTTACAGACACCGGCGGTATCGTGTGGCAACAGTGTTCTATCCCCAAGGTCGAGTGTGTGGCCCTGTGCTGCTGTCTGGGCACCCGGTGGAGGGGAGGGTGCCCGGTGCTGACAGCTGCTGCATTGGGTTTCAGGTTCTGTAGGTGTTTTTCCTTTTCTCTGTCATCCAACAAAGCTCTCTCTTCTGTCTGCAGGTCACAGTGAATTCCAGACGTCCCGGTGCTTGTCCAGGACCACCTGGTGTACCTTGCCCCCTGGGACACCCATCACCGATTGTCAGATGCTATTCATCACTGCCACCCCCACCTCCCTTGTGGCCTCTGTGGTCTCAGTCACTGGCACAAGTTACTTAGCTCGGTAAGATGAGAGCATGTGCTTCTGCTCCCTTGTCGAGTCTTTGCAGAAGGGGAGATTGCACTCCAGGGCCTTGCGATGCCTGAGGAAATCTGACTTGGGACATTGTGACATCTGTCTAGCTTCCCAGCACACACATCTGATGGACTGTGTCATTTCCCTGTCCTGACCTGGGAAACAGGTGTCTCTTGTATAGAACAAAAGAGACTTTTGACAGAATATCAAATGAATTTGAAGTCCCAGTTTGGCAGATGTGCCTCTTGCATGGACCATGTGATGTGCTCTGTGAGGGGTGAAGCACACCCCTAACTTCAGGGGCTCATGGTG